GTAGTGATATGAGGGAGTGGATATCATATCTTTTTTCGGCTAGCTTACGTTCGTGGATACGAAGACGAAGGGGACGTCCACTTTGGCCAATGTAGTGTTTTTCGCAGTTGATACAATCTATTTTGTAGATGATGTTGGTTTTATCTTCCTTCGCTGTTGAGTCTTTTGGTTGACATAGAATTGAGTGAAGTGACTTTGTTGGTTTGTGTACGACGTCAATTCCTAAAGGTTTGAAGAGTCTTGTAGTGATTTCTGAGATGTCCTTTATATATGGTAAGGCGATTTTCTTTGTGCTTTCCTTGGGGGCTTTTGGTTTGATAGGTTGGCTTGGGGGTATATGTCTTTTGATGAAATTCCGTGGATATCCATTCTTTTGGAAGACGTCCATGAGATATTTTTCTTCAATTTTCCTTGAGGTGGGAGTGCTGCAATGAGTCCTGGCTCTCTTGAATAGTGTTTGTATGCAATTCCTCTTGTGTGCTATTGGATTGTTGCTGTTGTAATTCAGGATTTGGTCTGTGTGAGTTGATTTTCTATAGACTTGAGTTTCTAATTCCCCTGTGGTTGTTCGCTTGACTAAGACGTCTAAAAATGGAATTTGGTTCTCTGATTCCTCTTCTTTTGTGAATTTGATGTCGTTGAAAACGTTGTTTATCAGGTTGTGAGCTTTATCTAACTCGTTTCTTTTGATAATTGCAAATGTGTCGTCTACGTAGCGTATCCAAATCTTGGGTTTGATCTTTGGTAGAATTATGTTTTCGAGCCTTTGCATCACTGCTTCTGCAATTAAACCTGATATTGGCGATCCCATAGGTGTTCCTTTGACTTGTTCATATATTTGGCCGTTGAATTGGAAGTACGTTGTTAGGCATAGGTTTATGCATTCCATCCAACTTGTGTGTTGCATTTTTGATTGTTGTGGAAGGTGTTCGTCGTTGCTAAGTAATTGCTCCATGGTTTCTTTTGCTAGTTTTTGTCCGATTGAGGTATACAATGCTGTGACGTCGAAGGATATCATTATCTCTTGTTCATCTATTTGGATGCCTCTGATTTTCTCTAGAAATTGGATAGCGAAGTTGATGGAGTGATCACAAGATTCCGTTAGGTGTTTTAGTTTTCTGTATAATTCTTTGGATAAATTATATGTTGGAGTTCCTGGGAGTGATACAATTGGTCGTAACGGGATATTTGGCTTGTGTATTTTGGGTCTGCCGTAGAATCGGGGTAGGACTGGTCCACTGGATTTCATTCGCCATTGGTCTTGTTTTGTGATTTGTCCAGTTTTGGTAAGCTTGTTTAAGGTCCTTTGGATGCGGTTGTCCAGTGTTTGTATGGGATTTGTTGGGAGTTGTTGATACACATCCTTGTCTTTGAGTAGTTCTTCAGCTTTCTTGGTGTATTCTTCTCTGTCCATGACTACTGTTGTTCTTCCTTTGTCGGCTGGTAGAATGACGATGTCCTTCCTATTTTTCAGCTTTTTGAGGGCCTTTAGTTCTTGAGAGTTGAGCTGTGTGTGTTGTTTTTTCTGTTTGACCATTGTTACCATTGTTTGGTGTATCTTTTCCTGTGTTTCCTCGTTCACGTTTGACGATTTGAGTAATGATTCAAGGGCAGCGAAGAAATCAGTTTTCGAAGAATTTCTGGTGTTGTAGTGTAATCCTTTTTGTAGTAGTTGTTGCCCCATTTTCCATAGTGATTGTTTTGATAGGTTGACTACGCAGTCTATAGGTGTCTTGTCTGGTTGTTATTTTCTACTCTTAGCTAGCTTGGTTTTGAGGACTCTACGTCTTTGTTCTCTGTGTTTTTTCTACTTGACTATGTAACTGCGTAATCAATCTATCAAAACAACCACTATCAAAAATGCGGCAACAACTACTACAAAAAGGATTACACTACAACACTAGAGATGCTTCGAAAACTGATTTCTTCGCTGCCCTTGAATCATTACTCAAATCGTCAAACGTGAACGAGGAAACACAGGAAAAGATACACCAAACAATGGTAACAATGGTCAAACAGAAAAAACAACACACACAGCTCAACTCTCAAGAACTAAAGGCCCTCAAAAAGCTGAAAAATAGGAAGGACATCGTCATTCTACCAGCCGACAAAGGAAGAACAACAGTAGTCATGGACAGAGAAGAATACACCAAGAAAGCTGAAGAACTACTCAAAGACAAGGATGTGTATCAACAACTCCCAACAAATCCCATACAAACACTGGACAACCGCATCCAAAGGACCTTAAACAAGCTTACCAAAACTGGACAAATCACAAAACAAGACCAATGGCGAATGAAATCCAGTGGACCAGTCCTACCCCGATTCTACGGCAGACCCAAAATACACAAGCCAAATATCCCGTTACGACCAATTGTATCACTCCCAGGAACTCCAACATATAATTTATCCAAAGAATTATACAGAAAACTAAAACACCTAACGGAATCTTGTGATCACTCCATCAACTCCGCTATCCAATTTCTAGAGAAAATCAGAGGCATCCAAATAGATGAACAAGAGATAATGATATCCTTCGACGTCACAGCATTGTATACCTCAATCGGACAAAAACTAGCAAAAGAAACCATGGAGCAATTACTTAGCAACGACGAACACCTTCCACAACAATCAAAAATGCAACACACAAGCTGGATGGAATGCATAAACCTATGCCTAACAACGTACTTCCAATTCAACGGCCAAATATATGAACAAGTCAAAGGAACACCTATGGGATCGCCAATATCAGGTTTAATTGCAGAAGCAGTGATGCAAAGGCTCGAAAACATAATTCTACCAAAGATCAAACCCAAGATTTGGATACGCTACGTAGACGACACATTTGCAATTATCAAAAGAAACGAGTTAGATAAAGCTCACAACCTGATAAACAACGTCTTCAACGACATCAAATTCACAAGAGAAGAGGAATCAGAGAACCAAATTCCATTTTTAGACGTCTTAGTCAAGCGAACAACCACAGGGGAATTAGAAACTCAAGTCTATAGAAAATCAACTCACACAGACCAAATCCTGAATTACAACAGCAACAATCCAATAGCACACAAGAGGAATTGCATACAAACACTATTCAAGAGAGCCAGGACTCATTGCAGCACTCCCACCTCAAGGAAAATTGAAGAAAAATATCTCATGGACGTCTTCCAAAAGAATGGATATCCACGGAATTTCATCAAAAGACATATACCCCCAAGCCAACCTATCAAACCAAAAGCCCCCAAGGAAAGCACAAAGAAAATCGCCTTACCATATATAAAGGACATCTCAGAAATCACTACAAGACTCTTCAAACCTTTAGGAATTGACGTCGTACACAAACCAACAAAGTCACTTCACTCAATTCTATGTCAACCAAAAGACTCAACAGCGAAGGAAGATAAAACCAACATCATCTACAAAATAGATTGTATCAACTGCGAAAAACACTACATTGGCCAAAGTGGACGTCCCCTTCGTCTTCGTATCCACGAACATAAGCTAGCCGTCAAAAGACATGATATCCACTCCCTCATATCACTACATACAGACAACCACGGACATCAATTCGACTGGGACAACGTTCAAATATTATACAGAGGAAACAACAAGAATGCTAGAGAATTTTTAGAAGCTTGGCATTCCAGTGAATCATCAATCAATAGACACATCGAGATAGACAAAATTTATCAACCGATAAGAAAGAAACCTCACACACAAAGGGTCAAAGTTCAAGTCAAAGAAACAATGAATTACAATACAAATAACCTAGGTGTGAGAACACACAAAAACAACCAATCAAACCCAAGGTCACCAGGAGAGATGATTAATAAACTCGTGGAGAAATCTGAAAGCTCACTTCAAATTGAAGTATGCGCTGAAGATGTCGCCTAGCAGGGCGATGAGAACTTCGCAAATTAACTATCCAGCTCAGAGAACACAACCACACCAAAATCATCCACCTGAGCTACAAATCTTCTCTATCATATGTGATTGTTAATTTCTTTGACTTGGACTTTGACCCTTTGTGTGTGAGTTTTCTTTCTTATCGTTTGATAAATTTTGTCTATCTCGATGTGTCTATTGATTGATGATTCACTGGAATGCCAAGCTTCTAAAAATTCTCTAGCATTCTTGTTGTTTCCTCTGTATAATATTTGAACGTTGTCCCAGTCGAATTGATGTCCGTGGTTGTCTGTATGTAGTGACATGAGGGAGTGTATATTTTCGGCTAGCTTATGTTCGTGGATACGAAGACGGAGGGGACGTCCACTTTGGAGCCACTGACGAACAAAGTGGAAGTAATGAATTTGAATTTCGTGCCTATAGGTGGATCTATCTTTCTGTTTGGCCTTAACAGTTATGATAAGCGAAATTCCCTTCGTTTTTTTTCATCAATTTAGCACCTCCGGTAATAATTTTACCCTCTGTAATAAAAGAGTACTTTAACTGAAGTTTGCAATGTAGCCACCATTCTAGGCGGTTTGTCATGACTAACTGAAAGAATTCAGTCCGCACCAAACGAATGGCTAAACATATTACACTAGTTACTAACTAGTATTCAATCCAAGTATTCAAAACAGTCCTACTAGAAGTCAATCTCGAGTCCGAATAGCTCAGTGGTAACGTCTCTGACAGGTTTGTCAGTGGCACAGCGGTTAGGACGGTCGCCAACTATGCACATGGTCCGGGGTTTGACCCCCGTCCGACGCACTCCTTAACCTCGTCAAGCCAGTAATAAAGCTGGTAAAGAGGAAAGGTGAGTAGCATTCACTGGGTGACGCGGGTTCGAATCTCACAAGGGACATGAGTTCCTTCAAGGTTGCAGACACGCCTTGCTGACTGGTGAGTGCCAAGTCGCACGAAGACTAGGTCCAAGGTATCCTTCCGATTGCCTCCAACCATCCAATACCAGTAATTCAATTTAGTTGGAAAGTTAGGTCGTTATTGCAGACATTTTTAATTTAATTAAAATACGCCATTTTTACTATTTCTTTTAGGGCGAAATACATGCGAGTTCCATTTCAAGCTATCCATGTCAGCTGGGCTCATGCATTCCCCGTATATTCAGATATTCCTGATTTACATTTGCTTAGAACATTCTTCAATAGTGGTCGTGTTCATGCATTCGCGGTACGTATGGAAACCTGTTGTCGAGCCTCTGTAGCCTTTGGTGAACCGTATTCGCAGCCATATTCATCTCATGGATTTTTGGACATTCTAGCCAATGCTTGCAGCAGTGGATTATATATGGCCGTTCCACTACTTATTTATCCTAGAAGGCAATGTTGGCTAAATAATTCATCAATACCTTATTATCCTTTTACGTACAGTTACATTGATTACCAATCCCTAGTCTCTTTTGCCATCGAAGATGATGAGGCTTATGCCAGTACTAATCAGTTACCTTCATATCATCAAGATATTAGCGAAAACCATTCAAGTTCAGTAAAAAACCAAAAGACAGATCAAAACAGATTCAATGACAATTCCCGTTCTCATTCAAACGGTCCTCGATGGGGTCATAGAAATAATACCACATCGTCAAAATACAATAGTCGCCGACAAAACACATCTGGATCGAACCATATACAAAAGGATTCTGTCTTAACTGTCTCTCAGAAAGAAAATCAGTGTAATTCAGAGGTAAAAGAAAATACAAATGCGACTAAACCAACATCTGAGAGAAATGACCACTTACATAAAAACCAACCACGAAAACCGTTGTCAAATCGTAATAATGGTGTGAATAGTTCGGGTTGCAGTAAAGCAGTTTCATCTAATCACGATAGAGTGACAACAACAAACAGTCCTGATGAGTGAAGGTGATTGTGTTGTTATTATTCCAATTCCCTGTCTAGTAAATCTGTTGTATTTTCCCGTAAAGCTTTTTGCAATTTCTTTTTTTTAATTTCATCAATTATTTTTTGTACAGTTTTTTCAATATGTGCCTTATGTCTTTTAAACATTTGTTTACCCGACAATTTTAAGGTTTGTTCATTTTATGGTCCTCACGTATTCACATTTCTCCCACTGCTAACTAAATATTTGCTTACTTGGTTTGGTTAATATGATTTAATCTACTCATTTTTTCATGTCTTTGAGTTCCTAGCATTTTTCTACTTATTGGTATATTTATTAACTATACTTTCTCATTATGTGGATTTTAATTATGACAAAGGTGTATTTTGACAATACTTTCACATTTTCAAATGTGATGTGCTGAAAAATACCTTGTTTTATTCAATATTATTCATTGAGTACCACAGTTTCATGTGGGTATACTAATAAAATTTTATCTCAGAATTACGTCATCCGTTGCTCCTCTGGTTTATTTAAAATTGATCACTCGATTGTTTTCAATTTCGTAAGGTTCAGTAGTGTCTACGAAAGCTTTTGAAAAATAGTAACGCTGTATTCCCCATATTCTTCACTTCATCATGTGGGTTTATGGAATCGTTTAAAGAGTCGAAAACCGCAATTATTTGGGTATTGTAATGTTATGCATTTTTCACTTCATCAACGAGTATGATTTAAGTGGGAGAATAGACATTTTCCCATTGTAATTTCAAGTATTTTATTAAGCATACAATGTTATACACATGTTTCATCACACTGGAATGAATAGGTAAAACGTAAAGGAAATTGTTATGGAACATTCGTTGATAAGTGATCATTCAATCATCGGCACCGTATTTATGGTGTGATGACTGCTCAACCGTTTTGAAAAACGAATGGAAGACCACTAAAAGTATGGGGAATGAATTTCATGCTGCCTTTTTCTCCGACGATGCACGAGAAAGCTGTTCTGAGGCATGTCATTCTGAGAACAATCGGCTAGGAAATTAAATCAAGCACCTACGATCGAAAGTAGGTATATTTTAAAAAAAAAACATCGACCTACGAAGTTTCAAAATAGTCGTGCAACGTAAATAATTCAATCTTCCAGACAGTTGTTCAGATGAAGGTGCAATACACTCAGCAGTTTTACCTCCAGGTAAAGTGATGTCATACTCAAGCCAATACTTGAATGAATGATTCGATGACTGCTGATATAATTTTTGTGAATCTAAGGCAAGAACCTGCGAGCGGCAGAAAAAAGAAACAAGCCCAGCGTACACAACAACAGAAAGTAGTGACGTACAACATAAGAAATGTCACCTACGGCTGCAATAATATCCAAATCGATAGGTTTATGCCAAATAAATTATGCCTTCATCCGAATCCATTGATATTATTCATGTGTTTATGACAGTCTAGAATTATGGCAAATGTATTTTGAAGAATATTTCCTTGAAGAAATCCACAGAGACCACTGGAATATCGTCTCACATCCTGTACGCGAGTGTCAGGAAGTAATCTTGAATGAAAACTGTTTCATCTTGCATAGCAAGATATTAAGTCTTTCGAAGCATCTTTATCATATGCCGTATATCATACGGTGGAGTACTGTCGACATGTCCTCTAACAGTATTGTTTGAATTAACTGTTGAATATGACTCAGTATGCTTGAAGGCAACCTATACTTCATATCCAGGTGCAGGTTGGAAAAGAGTAAGTGGTGGCCAAACAAAAACATGGCCTCATCAATCCATGAAATCCCTGACAGTTAAACTGAGTCAGGTAGGGAGATGCAGACTTCCGGGTTGGGGCCCTCGGGACTCTAAGAATCAATGGCTGGAGACAACAGGTGACATGGCTCAAAATCGTTGTCAATGGCTTACGCAGATGTATTCAGTCTCTGTAATCTTTCATATTCCTTTCTACCATTACTCATTCTGTTTCACCCTTATACTTGTCAAAACTCTATTGATTCTCTTCACTCATTTCTTGTCTAGCTTTGTGTGCTATTTGGAACGTGGCAACTCGAATTGTTGCACTTCGCTGCCAAGTTCTATGTTGAATCCAGACAAACATACTTCATATCCACTCTCCGTAAAGAAAACTTTACTCATTACTATCGTATATTGTTTAGGATAACATGTTGTGGGCTCTTATTTTTGTATGTTGTACAAGTAAAGAATACATTAGTTCCCTTATTCCCCCTTTTTTCTCATATTCAACAGCTTGTGAATTTATGATTAGTCGTTAACTACGAGAAATTGCTTATTTTTAATGCCTGGCATCGGCTCAACATGACCGATTCTGTATTCGTGAAACAGCACTGTTTATGTACTGCGTTATATATCTCACAGGTGGCGATGAATTCTTGGCATAAATATTTTCGATTATGTGTAGGGTCCATGGAGCTGTCACAGTTTGTTCGAAGCAGAAGAAATGAGATGTGGTTATGCATGGAGAAATAAGTAGCCATTTAGAAAATGTCTTGTGCCTATGTATTGAACACTTTTCCTATGTTGCATAATAAGCATTGACAGTAAAGTGGATTAGTGTCACGAAGGGTGTAAATTCTACGGCTTCCAATAGAGTCGAATACAACGAATCGGTTACGTGACTAAAAGTGGAAGTCTGTGGAAATATTTTAAGGCTAATGACTCAATAAATTCAGTCAATTAACATAAGTCATGCGAGTAACCGTTAAGTTTACTTTTGCCATTCGTAACGTTGCTAGAAATCACTTGTTAATAATGTGATTTTATAGCAGATCAGACTGATATGAACATGTTTTGTTTTCAGCTTAAGTATGTTTAAGCTAATCGCTTTTCACAAGATCAGATCGTCACGTCTACATTTCAAACTTCTAGTGTGGCCTAGATGCTTTTGCATTCAGAATTTGCTTACTTATAAGTGAACAGTGAGTTGTATTATTTATTATTATTCTCTTGGGTTCTTCCTCTCATAATCAAATGCCCTCCGCTATCTTTCATTAGTTTCTTCTGCATTGATCTCTCTCCGATTAGACAGCTGGTTGTCTGATTTAATGTTCTGGGATCTCTTTTGCCTCTGGCCTGTTCTGCTTCTGTTGCCAATATATCGTAGAAATACCTTTTCCTTCGCACTCCTCACTTTATTCATTGCGTTGTACATCGAGCTCATCTTCTCCTAATGTTCATCTTCTGATTCACCCTCTCCTATTTTAGCTTTCAGGTGTCCGTAGAGAGCCAGTCCATGTCTCGCCTCTGTATTCTCCCTGAAATGATTGTACACATATTCCCGTCAACGTCACTTGCAGAGTTCTTGCACACAGCTTTCCTCGGGGAAACTTCAACGACTTGGTTCTGAGAGCTGAAGTGAAGGTGTCCTTCGACTTCTGTGCATTGAACTTGAGTTGTTGTCTATTTCCAGTCGCTTTGATGACTTTCAGCTTGACATTAAGGGTTCCTTGTACTCGGTAGTGGTTTGAACCTACATCTATTCTTATCCTCGATTTTTTGAGATTGAGATAAAATCTGAGTTTTGGTGTCACTAAGGTGAAACCCATGTCTCTGCGTGTACTTTTGTGCTTGCACACTGTGCTTCCAATCACCAAATAGTTGAAGGCACAGCAGTCTACGAAGAGTCACACGTTCTCATTCAGCGAGAGCCTCCCGACCCATTACGACTTCAATTCATATGTTACCTGCACTTAGTTTAGCTGTGTTGTCACCATTTGACCTCCGTCTTATCCATTACTGTTTGCAGTTGTCTGTAGAAATCTCCCTTCTCATGTTCTGAGTTGTGTGTAGGAGCATAGCATTGGGTGATTGTTACTTCCCTTCCTTTTGAGTTGAATCTTGTCATGATCCTAGAAAAGACTGGTTAACACTGTATCAGAGCTTTTGCCGCTGTTGGTGACATCATGATAGCAACAACCTCAGTATGCTCACGGTTGTCGTCAGGTTGACTGAAGTAGGTTATTGACTCACCAGTTATGGATTCGGAGAGTCCACTCCCATTCGACCTGCTTTCACAGATTCCTAACACTTTTATACCATATCTCATCTCTTGCTACCGGGGCACCCTTTCCAATTTCGTACATTGTATGAACACTCCACGTTCCCATGCTTATTTTGTTTTCATCGGAAGAAGACACATTGTCTGCCTGGCTTTCACAAGCCTACGTCACTCTGTCTCGCCTATTCCAGAGAAGAATAAGATTTTTTTATACTTTTGTTGTCCTTTGAAGTTTCTGTAGAGAGTGGGTTCATACACAAAAGGTTTAAGCTTAAACAAAAATAAAGGTTTCGTGCAATGGAAAAGGGTTTGTGTAATAAAGACTAGAGGTGAATATGGCAACGTGGTGAGTTCGACTAAAATCTTAGAATCTAGGGATAAACGGAATTACATTATAGCGAAGGGGAAGAGGTTAAAGCCAAAATATACGTAATCGACATAGTAAAGACATCCATTTGCTAGGGCAAGGGAAAACTGGAAATCGCTTTTTTCTAAACACAAAAAGGGTTTCAGGCATTTAATTGCTTCGGCAGACTTGAGGAGAACTGAAATGTATTGTCTATAGATGGTTGTCAAAGATTTCATGGTATCCACCTGGTGACCTGCATTGATGAAACACATGGCAATAGCACTAATGTAAGCGTTTGTTCCCTTGAGACTTAGGCTTTTTGGTACTGCCACCGCAGATACATGTAAATTTGTAAACACCATTAGAGGTATACTGAGAAGGGTATTCTGTCAACCTTAGATTGCACCAAAGAGCGTCTTGTCCGATAAACATGAATCAACTTAGCTGCGAGATAAGTTCTTACTAGCGAGGTATTCAATCTTTTGACTATTTCTGCAATATTACCACACTTAAAATCGAGTTAAGTGAGGACAGAAGTCTTTTCCATTGTGATTTGTTGGATATTTAGATCACATCTCCCATACTTGGTAATGAATTTTTCAAGGTAACCGTTACTTCCCAACATCTTTTCAATAATCAGATATTCTTCCTCTAATTCCCCTGTAGAGCATATTCTCCTGGTTTTAACCAGCACTGGTTTATAGCTGTGAAGACAAAAACTATTGAAATGTGAGTATTGCTTTTTCCATGTAGGCTGTCGGCGAATTAACCTCTGGAGACAATCACCCAGACGCTTCATGGCGATATCAAGAAAACGAAACTTCCTATCTCTTTCATATTCTACCGTGAACTTAATATTTGCATGCACTTAACGGAATAGTTCCAGTAGGTTGGACGCATGACTTTCACTTTTGCATGCTACAAACGTGTCATCTAAATAAGTTCCATTGATTGCAGGTTTCAACTCTGTTCTCTCAATATTAGACATGAAGATGCCTACTAATACAGTCCTTGATGGACTGCCCATAAATTCACCATCTATTTGGCGATAAAGAGTGATGTCAAACTGGAATTACACTTACAGTAGTAGGCGGTTAAATTCCAATACTTGGGGAGGGAGAAGACCAGAATGTTCACAGATGATATCGACAGTTGTACTAGTTGAAATCCTTATGAATAGTGAGGTTACGTCAAATGATACTATGAACTAATTGGAGACGTTCATATAGTTCAAGCGAAATGGAATGAGCCTTTCAGGTGCGCACACCTAGTCGTTAATGAATAGGTTCCAACTTCTCTGAAGGCGACTAGCAACTTTGTACTGAGGAATACTGATTATAGAAAGTATAAGTTTCAAGGGAATATTCTGTTTTTGGCAGATCATGCATATGAACCAAACAAGATCCTACGTGTTTCAGTTCATTTTAAGTATCTTTTTCAATCTTCTGTTCACGAGCTCTCCTAATATGTTTGTAATGCGCTTTTCAGTTGGATATGACTTGTCTTTTTTGAAATTTCTCACTTTAAACTTCAACTGGTCGTCTAAAATAGATGTCATCTTTGTAATATGGTCTTCTTTATCCATCAACACCATCCATGAGCCTTTGTTTGGTCGTTATATCACGATTTTATCATTATTTTCGAGAGGTTTCGGTGTTTTTCATAGTAGATTTTGGAATATGAGGTTTCCGAAGTGAGTTATTGACTTGCAGTATCGACCAGCTTAGATTTGAATCAGCTCTTCTTTTCCCTATCCACTGGTCATTCAGTTGATGAAACAAGTTCTCAAATTAAGTTACCACATCACTTCTTTTGTTAGATTTATTTGTAATATAAAAGTTAAATCCAAGGGAAATCACTTCAGTTTTAATTCGGTTTAAAATCAAACTCGATAGATTACAGATAAACTTCTCAGGGTTTTCTAGAAAGCCTTCACACATTCTCTCTTTTGTCAAGAATTTCGACAGTGTTCTATAAAAATTAATACATGTGTTATGTGGAAGGTGCTGAATAAAACTGACTGATTTGATCCAGCATACGATATTCAAACTATTGACTACATCATCAAGAGACTTGGTATCCATTCTCAATATTATGAAATTTGAGATTTTGTTGATTCAGTGTGTGACTTAGCGATACTCCTAAGGTTTTAGGAAGAAGGTGGTAGTTTGCAACTATATGGTAACTTACTGAGTTGGAGAAGAAAGCAGTGAGACTGCATTGCATTCACCGTAGATATTCTGCAACGACTTGTCTCCAAGTAATTCAGTGGTTTGAAAGACTGTTCAGGGAGACACTTTTAGAGAAATTTCATACACTTATTCCCGTCTATGTATATGAATAAAGCAAATACAGCGGTTTGTGCTCAATGAAATTGTATTTTATAGGTTGAGTGCGTTGACTTTTACGGATAGTACGATGTATATTAACGTAAGATCTAATGCCCACAACTTCTTTAGTATTCGTCCCGCGTAGACCAAAGACAAAGCAAAGCACCAAATTAGTCGTCCATGTTACGTAGTATTTACGGGACCAAATAATAATGCGAGGTTGGCTGCTTAACTAGCTAAGGATCGTGCACGGGCCTTACACGATAACGTGCCAAACTTCGTAGATGCTTGAGCCTTCAGGTAAACGAGTCGACTTAAGCAGTGAGGGTCAACATCCTATGTTCAGTGATAAAGGCTGTGGCTAATAATTCTGAGGATTCACCTACCGGTACAGTATCATCTCTTATTTCGTCGGTTACTCATCAGCTGCGTATAGCCTAAAGGAATCAATTCAGTTTATGTAAAGAACAATTTAGACACTTGCAAATGTGATATGATATCAGTTGACAAGAGTCTTCTGTGAAGCTGTACGCAATTGGTGAGAAGGCGATGAAATAAATGGTGGTACCAGTTTATTCTGCACAAACTGTTGTTTTTGGTTCTTATTTACTTTGGAAGTCTATACAACATCTATCAATTGACCGAGTCTCATCTTCTTATCTGAAATACTAATTATAATTTGTATTATTATTTCAGTTATCTTACTAGCTTCACCTTTATTTATCATCATCCTATTAGCTCAGACAATTTGGTCACTTAACGAAATCACTTGTATTTCCCTTAGTTTTAATCATCGCACGTACAAACTATACACTATGTAATTGTTATTAATTCCTTGGGTTTTGAGTGGAAAGTAGGGCTTCAACAACACATCTCCACTTTACCCTATTTTCTGCTGTCCTCTTCAGCTGGGTCCATGTTTGACCATAATCTCTCATCCCCTCCTCCCCAAACGATCTCCTCCATGTCACCCTCGCACTGACGACACATTCATCGCTTCCCATTGGGATTCCACTCGACCAATGGCCAGTATTGTGCGCGATGTCATTCGATGGCCTGATCCATCTCGATTTTCTCTTACATATTTGTTGAGCAATCGGCTCTTGGTTCGTTCGCTCCCACAGTTTCTTGTTGCTAATTCTTCCTGGCTAGCTGGCCATTTGATCTTCAGTATGGAGCCAGCAAAGTGGACAGTTGTCCATAAAAGTCTTTAACTTGTTGGAAATCCCTTTCGAGACACGCCAAATTTCTAACCCGTATAGGAGAATTGACTTCACATTTGTGTTGAAAATCTGAATCTTGTTTTTTACGTTGCGGAGAGCAGCAGCAGATTTCTAAACTGGTTTCAGGTTGATGAATGCACTACACAATAAACTTGACTAATTATTGTAAGCTGAATTGTCACTAGCAGATCATATATTACCGAAGGCATGCTACGTACTGGTTTATATTATAGTCGGTAATAACGTGTTTAACCGTAATGTGTTCAATATGACGGAGAAGACTGTAGATAGGGTTGTGAGGCTACATAGAAATGTGTTACACATGACGGAGAATAGTAGTGATAGTAAGTCGAAAATATGGCACTATTCAATGAAGTCCTTGACTGTTAGTTTGAGCCCATACGGATGTAAAGACTAAGTTAAAGAATCTGGGGTTGGAGATGGTTGTTGAAATGGCTTGAAATCATCCCCGTTGACACAGATGTTTTCATTCCTTTCCATTTTGTAGAATTTCAAAATTCTCATTATGCTTCATGTAAATATTCTTCCTCCAGCATATTTCTGTTTATTGTGGTTTCACTGTATTTCTTTTCTTTACCTTTATACGCGGTTTTGTTAAATGTTGCAGTATAAACTAACACACTTTTATGCAAAGTTGGTAATTCAGTATTATACTGACTGACTTATTGGTGTCAACGTAGAACTCTGCACAGATGTGCAGCAGTTCGACTCGCCACAGTTCATGTAGCACACAAAGCAAGAGAAGAGAGATAAATAAACAGAAATGTGAAACAAAAAGAATAGTCATATGGAAGAACAAAGTGTGGATGCATCTGCGCCATCGAGGACGATTTTTAGCTATATCACTAATTGTCCCTAACCATCATCATTGGTTTTTACAATCCCCAACTAGTCAGGAAGTCTACATCTTCCCACGTGACTGGCTTAAACTAACTGTTGTGATTAATGTCAGTAAAAAGTTTGAGCATTGTGGAATAGACCAAATAAAGTATAATTATATTTCAATGGTTTACACACACTGATAAGTTTTGTTATTGGTAATATTTCGAGCGAGATAACTGCCCGTGTTCTCACCACTGTTGGAATCGTTTTGTTGTGAATTTGACTGACTGACGCCATATTTCGGTTTAACCACCACTAGCTCTTTTCCAACCTGATCCATCCTGTGTCAGCTAACATTGCCCGTCGAGGAGGGCGATGGATGGGCATACGTAACTCATGTCCTAACCATCTCAATGGGTGTAACTTCCCAACCTCGTCGATTGATTTCCCCTCCTTACCTAGCACTCGACCGATGCCTAACCTCAATATTGCTCACCCTATTATACTACTTCACACGGAAGATTGAACGCAGGCACCTATGATCAAAGACAGCTACCCTTTTCATGCCTCCTACTTTCGAAGGCCATGTCTCGCTCATAGCCATAAAAGAGGACGGAGCAGACTGCTGAGCAGTACACCCGCCCTTTAGTCGATAGCCGGATATCACGTCTACTAAACCAGAGATGGCGTAATTTGGCATATGCCAAACGAGCTTTCTGTATCTGTGTGCTGAGAATTCGTCAGTGATCAACCGGCTGATGCCATTTTCCAAATAAATGAAGTGGTCAACACGTTCCACCAACCACTTCACTCCCGTCTGTCTTTAAGCTAGGAGTGAGTCGATATATTCCAGCCATATAGCATCATCTTACATTTGACGGGAGCGAATCGCAAGCCAAACATTCTAAGATTGCTGCTCAATGTGTTCAGAAGACTCTGCATTTTGTCAGCGTTTTCACTCAGGTGGAAGGACTATGTCATCTGCATATTCTAAGTCAACGAGATTATTCCCTGGTAACAAGTCAATCCCTGAGTTACTGAAGTCTGTTAGAGTTAAGTCCATTAGTACATTTATGATGAAATTAAACAGAAGTGGGAATAATGGGCATCTCCGACAGATGCCACTGGTTGTCATCACTTCAGATGGCAACTCTCCGTAGGCTCTCTTACATGGCTGAATGAGTTCGAGTAGACTGCTTTGAGCAGTGCGATGTATTTTCTTGGCATTCCCTTCCCAGCGAAACATGGCCGTAGTACCTCTTGGTCGACGGTATCGAATACCTCTTTCAGGTCAAGAAATATGACGGTTGTTGGATGCCGGTAAGTATGCCTATGTTCCAGAATCTGTCGAAGGGTGAAGATATAGTCAATATACCCTCTTCCTGGTCTAAACCCTGCCTGGTTCTCTCATGTTTGTTCCTCTCGAGCACCACCTAGTCTATGCATGATTATTGAGCCTAGAACATTGGATACCATATTGGTCAAGCTAATCCCCCTGTGATTATCACAGGAAAAACTTGTCTCCCTTTTTGTATATCGTGATAATCAATGACTTACACCAGATCGACGGGACTACCTCTGATTTCCAGATGCTACCTAATACCTTAGTTAACGCAGATTTAAATCTCCACCACTAGGTCCTGCCGCTTCGCCTCGCTTCCGACTAGTGATAGCTTTTGTAACCGCAGTTAGGGACGACGTATACTGGTGTAGAAATATCAGTGAATATTTAGTTGCACGTAAATATTTCTTTGCTGAATTTGTTATTTGCTAAAAGAAACTCAATGAGTCAACAATAGCAAATAATTACATTTAATAGTTTACATTTAATTCTTTTGGAGGATACAATTTTACGAATTATGATATAAGAGTGATATACAATGGTTGTATCGTGGCAACAACACAAGAAAACAAAAGAAATCACGAATTATAAGATGTTGTATAAGAGAGAGATGAGAGATATTTGTCTAGATTATATGAAAATAAATTCAATATTTTAATGCCTAGTAAGTAAAGAATTTCCGTTTTTCTTTTTTCATCATTTCCAATAGATTATTACTCATATCTACTTTCTTTTAGAGATAAATTGTCAGAGCCTACTTGATTTTTTTTTTTAGGTTTTTGTGTTACTTAGAATAAAATTTAATGTCTGTACACTTTGTAAATGATTATCGTTGAAGTGTTTGTGTTTGTTGAACAGTGGAAATTCATACAAATGTTATGATGTATGGTTGAACCTAGATTTTTGTTTTGCTTTTAGAATTAGGCAACAGCATTTGATTGCATGTTTATTTCATTAGATAAATGATCTTTGCTATTCGACTGATTTTCATTTGTTAATTTACTATCAGTATCATTTGAAATAATAATTCCTGATGGAATTGACTTATCTAAATTAACGCTTATTTGTTTGAATGCACTTTGTTCTGTAGGATTTAAATAACGATTTGTTCTTACCGGTGAATGTATGCCTAGACGAGGTTGTTGTTTCAGGGTTGTTGGTGTTGTAAGTGTATTTTGATAGTATGTTGAAGGTTGAGTTTGTTGTTGTTGTTGTCTCGGTGAATGGTTCTCACTGGTAGTATTTGTATGCGAATCATTAAGTTCCATCCCGTTGACTGTCTGATATTGTTGATGGTGATAATTATGCTGTGGTATTCGCTCATAATATGAGTCTGAATTGGTAGTTATACTAAGCGGATTATTAGTATTACTTTTAGTGTTACTGTTATCAGTACAATGCTGTGTATTACCATTGTATGCATCAACATTATTACTAATTCTGTTACCATTTAGTAATAAAGAGGGTGATTCTTTTGAAGGAATTAAATCACCAGATTTTGAATCTTGACAACTATCCGACTGAACAGATGACATATGTTCAGGTAAATGCTTTTGATTGCCATCAAAAAACATCGGTTGATTAAATTCCTAAAAATGGAGAAAAATAGTTTTATTTAGAAGAAAGAAACGTTGGCATTAGTGTCATAATAGCTTACCATAAAAACATTAATAATTGCTTAAATATAGTAATCATTTTTATTGATTTTGCATTACTGACAAATAAGTTTAGTTACTGTTAGATGATTGGAGGCAATCGGCCACAGGAAGCCTTTCAACTAGGTTTCGTGCTAGTTGGCACTCACCAGTCAGCAAGGCGTATCTGCAACCTTGAAGAAACTCGTACCCCTTTTGAGATTCGAACCCACTCCACCCAGTGAGTGCTGAAGTCAGAGACGTTACCACTGAGCTATTCGGACTCGCGATTGACTTCATGTAGGATTGTATTGAATACTGAGAGGTTGTAGTCGTTTCGGTCTTCTTGGTGCTGGCGGCTTTGTTAGCTTGTCTTGCTGTATCGAGTTCCGGAGCTCACTGACGTTCACTCCCTTCTTTTTGTTTGCACTTCTGATCGGGTATACGTGACCCCGTCTCACAGTTACCATGTATAGTCCTTCCCACTTTGGAAGCAGTTTGCATGACCCTGGCTCGTATTCACCAGTGTTCCGCCTCACTCTATCAGATGCTGCCGTCTCCCGACCTCCCAGCAAGGATCCAAGTAACAGCCTCATCGCTAACGTATCTTGAACGCCATTCAACTGCGTAACAGCCTCGAAGTCCTGCCCGAAGATCCATATGTGTCTTTCTTCAAAAACTGAAGGACATAGGCTTTCCATTTGTTGGTAGGCGACGACACCAACTGCAACAACAGAAGGCAAGACACGGAAGCCAAGGTATATTTTTCACTAATCAAGCCGCTGTTTATATCTATACAGTTTATATTCCTTAACCAATTACTGAGCATATGATTTTCGTTTACATTAAACGAAATGAAATAAAGTGTTCAAATACATGTATAGTATTCTGTTGTTAACGCAGTATTGAACTGTGGGAATATGTGAGAATCATATTCCGTTGGAACACATTGTCTGTATTACACCACCACACTTTGTATTCCGAGTGGAACATAAGGTTTCAGGAGCACATTTCCATTTCACCTTCTTCTCGCCAGTCCTTTTTAGCTGAAATGAGAGCCTAAGGTTAGGTGAAAACACACAATGAATAACTTGAAAATTCCCATTGAGTCATATAAGAGAAAAAGCGTTCAGTGAAGAGTTACTCTTTTCGGCGATATCATTCTCAAGCTGTACAATCTCATATATATAGCAACAAAATGTATATTTTCAAAGATTTGTCATTAGAATTGTAAATTTTAGATAAGAACAAATTACGTAATGTAGAAACCGTTAATAGGGTAGAAACTAAAATAAGATTAAATAAGCAAGTTGAGCGACGTAATCTAATTGATGCGGTTGAGTAGAGCTCAACTAAAATTAAAATTGAACGAAAGTCAAGTGGTAATAAGGAGTAGAGGGAAGAAAATAATGCGATTTAGAAATAAACAAGCAAGAAAAAGACAAAACAAAAATTACGCATTTAGTGTTAAGATAGGTCAGATCCACTGTGGATTTACTGACTGAACAAACTTCTTTTGTACACAGAGTTCAGGATTTAACATGTGAATAGCCATTGCTTCTGCGGTTTGATTTCCACTTTGTTTTTGCAAGATTCCCACGTATTATGCAGTTGACTTTGAAGTCACTTTGTAGGTTTGCTTGGTGTCCTGATTTTGTTATGTAAAATTTACAATCCTAATGACAAATCTTTCGAAATATTCATTTTACTGCTAGGACAATGAATAACTGATGAGTCTCACTTTGGGACGAAACCTATACCACTTGGCCTCCATTGTTCCCTTAGTTTATGTAGCTTAGTTGAAAAATAAGTCTTAAAGTTAGCTGGACCACCGTAAACCCGACAGCTATATTGGTGAATTACAAAGCTCATCCATGAGAAAATTAAAATTTTTGTGGTATATCTTTAAATTTGTGTTACAGACTATGTACAAGCAACTACACTTAGAAAACTATTGTGATTTCAGTATTTTTAATATGCATGAATCCACTTATTTAGTTTAATGTTTATTAAAAAGCTTCTATTTGTCGGTTACTATCGGTTGTGTATTTGAACTGGGTTTAATTTACTTCTTTCACTCATTATCTCCGGCGGTCTACTTAAATCCTTGGCCTACCAGAATTTCCATCCATCAAAATGCTTAAAGTCTTCTGCACTTCTTATTGTTTTAATCGTACAATTATAACAAATGACCAATTCGTGAACTCCCGCGCTAATATTAATTAGTTTCCCATTGTATGCTACGCAATTTTCGAAGGAATTGAAGTGAAAATGTACAAAATTGGCTGTCGGCTTATATGCAGGAACACTACGAAAAATGAGGTACTTCAAGTTATTGCTTTACATGGAAATTCTTTATGAAGAGGAAATATTTTGGAACTAAATGCGTTGAAAATTTCTGTAAAATATGTTCCCAAAATGTCTGAAATAAAGCTTTACTGTTATTATTATTACAAAGGCTTAAATATTATATTCCTTGAATCACCTTTCATTTCCCCTGATGAGAATTAGTATCGTAATATATAAATCACTGGAACAGAGTTACAGTCCTAAAACATAATATAGTTCAGTAGAAGAATCTTTGTTCATTGAATCTACACTAAACACTTTCAGTAGTAGGAATCGATGCATCACCAACAACAGAGTTATGGAAAGTATGATTAATGACCAGATCAAAGGATAGGAAAAATGCAACTATATGAATTAAATATTCTGGAAGTTATTTGAGCACCTTGGTATCGATTGTGAGCAATAAATTGTACTCTAAACGCCACCATTAAGTGGAATTGTTCCATTGTGTGTGTATGTGTGTTATATCAAATAACATTTTTCCATGATGGAATTATACTCTGTCACACTACCCAAATTCTATTCTTATATCACTTTTATTTTACAGTTTACTGCATGAAAAAAGAGATATTCTTCTTTTGTACAGTATTAATGATCTAAGTTTTCGTGCTGATTCATTACCCTCATTATGCAAGAACTAGTAATATCTGTTCGGCTGATTTATTCACAGTTTATAGGACAGAAGTTGAACTTGGAACTTAGAGCAATGCACACACATAATTTCGCTGTCTGAAATAAACTATGTTGCCTGGAATAATCACTTACTGTTCACTGATAAGAACCTAGAACAAAATATTGGAAGCTTTAATGAAATCTAAAATTTGAGACTGGTTACATTGGGGTGAGAGCTGGCTGCTAGCCAAAGTTGGTAGACAGTAATTGACATCAGTGTTTATGTCCCCAATATTGGTGGTGAGAAAATGAGAACAAAGGCTTTGCGTAGGCGGATACAGTTAGAATATGGATGATTTGACACATCCACAAAAAGATGCAAGGTTAACTTTCTGTGAGAAACAAGCAATCAAAAGACTGTATTTTCTACTAACAATAATGTACATTGAAATCTATATGTGTTGATTTTCCTTAATAAACAATCTGTTGCCTGGCCCTTGTCTTCTGTTGCTACAACATGTTCAGAGTATTACAAAACTCTCAGGAGTATTTCTCTACAAACTCACCTAATTTACCGGAGGTTTATTGAGTCACTGTATTACTACTGAGTTTCAGATCCATTTCTTCTTACTAACACCGTTCAGCTTGAATAAAGTAACGTATCACGCTTATCTACACCGGACTTAGCCACTTTACATTTTAATATAATAATAATAATGATAAAATCAGTATATAACATTTCTACTTGCCGTAAGATTTTTACCATTCATTTCAGTTTTTATAGATTTCTCCGACTCATTGATAGACATTACTTGGGATTGTGACACTGCAATATGAAGTTCACCGGTTTGACTAGATGATTTCTGATGATTTTTGTTCACAGTATTCTCATCGTATTGACTATTCGACATCACCAAGACTGATTTACCACTGTTAGATTCATCAGTGTGCTTGTCAGTTATCTGATTAGTTGTCTTTTTATCGATTGCTTCAGTTTCTTGAGTCAGTTTTAAGTCTATCTGTTGATCTGGATTATTTCTTTGATGATGATGATCTGCTTGATCTGATGTCGGTGATGAGTTTTTGGACAGATTCGTTTGTTGTTGTTGTTGCTGTTGTTGAATTCTATTCGCACTAATCATCGATTTTAACTGGTCATTTCTGTTTTGATTTAGCTGTTGGTATTGTTGCTGTTGTCTTTGCTGTTGTATTAACTGATGTTGATGAAATTGTTGTAATTTATGTCTGTTTAACATTTGATTTTGTGCTAGTATACGATAATAAGCCATTAATGAAGCATTTTGTTCAGGGACATTGAGGATAGGAGAAGGAGAGGATGATGATACTGCTGTTGCTGTTGCTGTTACCGTTGCATTCATTGGATTAATAAATGTTGAATATGGTCCACGGATTCCATGGACAGCATATAATTGTTGTTGATTCGGTGAATAGTACTGTTGTTGTTGATTGTGGTGTTGATATGGATTTCCAATGTTCTGCGGTTCAATTAAACGATTTTGGTTATAATTTAATTGATATCGATCATCAGATCTTGTAGATGCAGCACCATTGAACTGAGAAGCTATATTTGCACTCATATGTTGATTATTTAATTGCAGTTGATTCTTAGGATTGTCTGAATCAGCGGGGTACTGATTTTGTTGTTGATGTTGTTGTTGTGAAATGGGACTTGGAGTTGATATTTGTAAATTAGGATCAATAGTATCAACACTGGCAGTTGGTGTAGCCTAAGATAAGGAACATTTTATTTAATTATTAAATTAAAAATAAATTGACTACTGGTCAAAGTAATTGATTAAACAATGAATCTTTCAAATGTCCTCATGAATATCACCGGTAGTAACACGCAGAGTTCGTAAGAATTTACTGTTTGACATATAACAGTAAACTATGGTCTTTATAAATATTACCAGTGAACAACTAACTACCCACCAGAATTTATTCAGAAATATATGAAGATCCATCGAAAGAATAAGATTATTAATAAAAATAACGAAAATAATGTAGAATTCAAAGCCTTCATAATACTGCCATATAATAAAGAAGGAACGTCAGAAGCCTTATGTAGGATTCTCAATGAGTCTGGAATTAGGGTGGTATTTAAACCAACCAACTCTCTCAGAGATAAACTTTGTCGTCATAAGTACCCAATAGATCCAATTAAGAAAAACAATATAGTTTACCAAATACCATTTAATGGCTGTGAGGTCAATTACATAGTAGATTTGGGTCAACTAGATTATTGGAACATAAAAATCTATCTACACCTAGAATAAATGACCCTGCTAAGTTAAATAACCTAGAGAAAAGCTCAGCCATTGCACTGCATTCATAAGTATATAATCACACAATATGAGGTGGGTGGGACAGGGTGAGAGTATTAAAAAGAAATATAGTTAGATGAACAGAGAGGTTAATCACTGAAGCTTTTTTCATCAATTCAACACGCAACACCTATACCGGAGGTATGGAAATTGGCAATAAACAACAAGGAGAAAATGGAGAGACAGAACGAGAGAAAATATATGTAGAAGACAAATTGCGAAGCCTTATGACTAAATCGATATGATTATGAGCAGGAATAATTTATGCTCGAAACGTCATCCAGTTGTTAATACTGCATCACTGTGTGATATTTAAAATAAGCTTGCCTGATATGGAACTTATAACTAAAATGCTGAATAATTTGGGGAATTATGTGAAACACCTGAAACTAAACTTTACGTTTTATATTATTGACCTGAGAAGCATATTAATAAATCTGATGTAAATCAGATAAACTCTGAAATTTTATCTTACTCTAACTTCTACTGGCTATTTTTAACAGGTTTATTTTTAGTTGTTAAGACTAGGAAATAAAACATAACAAAACGTGGTGTGTGGTAGATTTGCACCCATTATATTATTTTAAAAAATCAGCATAGTGTGATAAGACTAATGTATATAAATATATACGACCATTTTATACATTTCACACCACTTTCAATACTGTCCTGGCTACCAGACACCTACATTAGTCACTGCTTGGCTTTCCATTAGTCTGTACCAGCCAAACCTACAGGAAATAAGTCATGGGTTTGTTTGGCAGAGCGCAAGACTGTTGTGAAAATTAAAGCTACTATTACTGCCTTCAGGCCTACAGCTGCGCCCTACCGTTATGTGCCTTATAAGTACCCTATAAAGGTCGATGAATCACATCAATCATCTAACATTTTTCTTATACATGTTCATCTTACGTTTTGCATCAGTAGAATTGAACCACTAACCAGTTCTCTAACTGATGTCAGCTCATCATGAAATCCTCCATCCAATCAAACTAAATCCCAACAAAACCAATACTTGAAAATCAATCTGATGCTCACTAGCGAATGGCCCTATTCAGGCAGTTAATCTGGGGTTCTAGTGGGAAGCCGTGACCAGTAGGGTACGGCAGGTTGAAGATGAGGCAGTAACTCATTGACGAAGACATTGCGAAATGGTCGTGCTACGTCGTGAATTGGCAAAGTTAGAATTCATTGGCCATTGGATCGGTGGGTCCCAGTGGCTCAATGGCCTACGAGCTCGCCTTGTAACCAGAGGGCCCTGGGTTCGAACCCCGGTGGGTGCGTACTGATGAAGAGTCCCAAACTAGGACGGAACAGCTGTCCAGCACTCCCAGGTTTTCCAGTGGTTCTCTAACTGATGTCAGCTCAAAATGAATTTTCACATGGCATAGAATTAAACTAAACATAAGGACTTACTTGTCCAGTTGAAGCATTCCGTGGCGTAAATATTGCATATTTCATACTCTCTCCATCTTCACTTCCATTCCCTGGTCTACTTCTACTTGGTGGACCTGTAACTGATGCAGCTCTTGATGATGGTCTAGGCATAAGACAATAGCCACCAACATTATTAAGAGATGAAGCATGATTCATAGCCAGACCGAAATTCATATTCTCTACAACTGATGCAATTGCTGCAGCTGCAGCTACTTGTGCTGTAACTTGTAAATCTGTTTGACTTGGACTTACTAAACTAGAATATGATGTACCAGATGCATTACTCCACTGTGAATAATTCGATGGATGTTTTGAAGGCATATGAACAGATAAATGGGATCCACGAGGCTCTGGTTGACCAGATAAACTAAGTCTTGAGGATTTTCTACTGCCTTGAAATGATTGTTTAAACTTATTGAATTGACCGACTGAATATAAGTTTTAAACAAAAAGAGTAAAAAAAATGTCATTTCATTTTACTGTTAACATTTGTATCAAATATACACAATGGTTTTAGAAAATTCCCACAGTGATTTTGCTTGTAATTTAATATTTTCTTTTGTGAACTCATTACAGTATGGTCAATTGAGCTGACTATAACTTGAAAGAAACTTTAAAAGTAGAACATCTATCTATAAGGCTGGGTGTGACTAAAACAGTAATCGGTAAATAGCTTACTCCACATATCTGGTTGAGTAGTATTAATCATTATTTACCCACTTTAGTAATAATAAAAAGTTGAGTATAGGCAATTGTATGAAGTCACTAGACAACAGATGAGTATAACTTCGGATTTCCTCCTCCTTTACGTAGATTTTTATATTTTATCACCTGGAGACTGAGGCTAAAATGTCCTTGGACTTGTGCATATTTGTAGGAGGTTAAAAAGCTAAGTTCATCAGTGCTACAGCTGTAGGATGCTCGCCAACCACTCATGTTGTTCGGGGTTCGATCACCAGCCGAATCACTCCTAAACCTCACTAAGCCGGTAAAGAGGGGAGGTTGGACATGAGGTTAGCAATCCCACCCCGCAAAAATAAACAACACTACTAGTGAAACTCAAAAGCTGTAGCTTGAAGCCCAATGTTCCACTAGGGACGTGAAGGAATAAAATAAATAATAAAAATGAACAGCTAGAAGAATAAGCCACTCAGAGAATCGACAGTTGATACAATCACTAAAGTGACTGAGTAATATTCGAAGTATAGTTTGGACTGAATATGATTCGAAACAGCAGTTGACGTTTTGTTTTTTAGGTCGGATTTTGAACCACAGCTGAGGGAAAATGGATATTTAGTTTCCCCCAGTGTTTCTGTTTGGTAGGAAATTCCAAAGTTAATTGTTCAACGAAAATAAATTGACGCCTTTAGAAAATTATTAAGTTGTTATAGGCGTTGATAATGAAATATGTGCGTTTTAATAAATTTTTGAATGCATAAAAGTACCTGTGTAGTAGCGGGTGTTTGCACCAAAATAATATTAGGACAGAGATATATTTTGCCGATGTATGTGAAAAACGGGCGTAGTAAGGTTATTCACTAAAATTCTACACCTGACTAGTGGTTCAGTTTTTCTACAGAAAGGAGAAAAAGTATGATTAAATAAAGCCAAATAGCTAGTCGTGTTCCTTTCAAGTTTGTTCACGGATTAATACCAGTTAGAGAACCACTGAAAAGCAGGGACCGGTTCTCTGACTGATATCAGTCAAACTTCGAACCAATTAAATGGCTACAAACTAACACGTGAACATTAATCTGATGCTCACCAGTGACTGACCAGTGGAGTTCATCAGGTCGGGCGTGGGGACAAATACTGGCTGAAGACAATTACTAGTGTCGGGGCTAAAAATCAAGAACTGGTAGAAGAAGTTAGAATTTATAGACCATTGGGTTCCGTTCCAGTGGCTGTATAGTCAGCGTGTTCACCCTGTAACCAGAAGGTTCTGGGTTCGAACACCTGTGGGCACGTACTGATGAAGAGTTCGAAACTAGGGCGAAACACTTTTTCAGTATTCTCTGGTTTTCAGTGGTACTCTAACTGATGTGAAACTGTGATCAGACTTGAAACCAATGAAATTCCTACTAATTAACACTTGAAAACTATTATTTCTGATAAGTGTGAATCTAACTGAACGAAAAAGGGAAGAGTCATTTAGTTGATAGCTATCACACATAAGACAAATACCATGTTGTTAGAGGTTAATCATCACCATTGAACTTCCTACTAGAAATCTGATGTGGAAACACATCAGTAGCCAATTTTGGTAGTTCAAAAGTTTACTGGTGAAAAATTACAAAACATCCAGTCTCTATGAAAAATCCTAATAGAATTCACTAAGATCTTTTTAGAAAACTGGATTATTTACCTTTAATTTTATCCCGATTCTTTGAATACAGACTCGCATTGTTGACATGGTTATTTTTCTTTGAATCACCACCATTTTCTGAACTCATATTTGTCTCTTTTGATGTAACCATTAGTTCGTTAGGCGGCATATCTGAGTTCATTGGATATGTGATAAGTGAATTCTGTGATTTATGACGATCTTCATTGGTATGTGTACTCAGATCATTTGTCATTTGTGTACTAGGTGAATAGATTTCAGTACTACCACTGACAACAGAAGCAGCTGCTCTTGCTGCAGCAGCATATGCTTCAGCGAATATTCGACTATTTATAATATTCATTTGAGCACTTTGACTACTGGCCACGGAATTACGACTGTGCAACAATGCAGCACATTCATTATCAATACTATTACCATCAAATCCGATGTTCATTCCTGAAGAGGGTTGTAATGGGCTGAAATGATGATGAGTTCCATTCAAAGAATTCTCGTATCCTTGCGAAATAAACGAACCATTTTTAACGCTTTGTTTGTAAGGGATTTCTAAAAGTAAATGTAATTTTTGACAAGATTAAAAAATATTCTTTCAATAAATACAAGAAAATAATTAGTACTCCATGAATTATTAGTAGATATCTTGAAGTATCAACCAAAAACTTTCATATATTAAACTGATGATGCAGTTTACATTATCTAAATAGTGATACAGAATTCATTATCAATGACTTTCTCATAAGTAACATTTTTTCAGATTGGCTTGCGAGAATCTAGTTTGTCTGTGGGGATGGATTCAGTAACGAACTGAAATCAGTTACAGGACTAGTGAAATCCATGGAACGCCAAATAGCTGTTTTACTTAGCTTGTGACTTGTTAACACTCGATACCTATAATCCCACAAAATATCGTTGTCTATGTGGACATATTATACATCATCAGGAACTGGAAATAACAGTTATATTATTTATTTACTGTATTCCTGTATTTTTCTATAACAATCTGTTACGTATTCAGCTTGGGCGCACGGTTATTCCTTAATTACTCTTCATTTTTTCAAAACAAAGCTTTATGCATTCCACGTGTTGTAACCATTTGAAATGTGTGTATCAATTTTTTTGTTAATTATCACCTCAATGACATGCTGATACTGACGAATAATTGTTACCAAACATATTGCCACTTGATTGGTAAACTGCCGTGTATTGTAATAAAAATGCGCCGGTGGCACATCGCTTAGGACTCTCACCGACCATGCACATGGTCCGGGGTTCAATTCCCTGACGACGCACACCTTATATCAGTGGTCGGCCTGCAAAATTTGGGCTACCGATATCACATGCTAAAAATTGTACCAAAAATATTCTGTGGAATCAAGCTATAATCATATATATATATATAAGGATCTAATTGAAAAGTAAATATTTATTCTCTTAATCTTTTTGCTTTCTATGTGTATTTTATATTGAAAAGATGTCGAAAAGCTTAAGTCATTCTCATGTGATATCATACGTGTGGAGGACCATTATTGTTCTTTTAAGTCACTCTTATCTTCATGCACATCAATACATTTTAGAAATCGATAATACAACAATGTAGGTAAGAGAATGAACACCAACATAGCTATCAGTGTTCTTGATACAATTAATGCTTTCAACCTTCAGCTTAAAACAGAACTACAAAGATTATACCCGGTAGATTGTAACCTTAGAATTTCACAAGTAGAACATGAAATCCAATCATAACCAATTACTAAAATTATAACACAGTATAAAGGTTGAACAAGATATCTGGCTGTTTAAACCTTAGAATCATATTCTCCAAGAAATAATGAGAATTTGAGAGCTTGAAGTTGAAATAAAGTGTTGACCAGTTAAAACTGCATGCAATAAAAACCAATTACTGATGAGATGTAAGAAAACATTGGAATAGGTGAACGTGAGTTCACGTGAGTTGAAGTTTAAACAAGAAGATAAATCATAAATTTTATTTAAACAGCCTTTCGACGTTACTTTCTAGGCGCCTTTATATGGATTCAAGAATGAAAGTAGTCTCACGTAAAGTGAAGCAATCAACTATTGTCTTTCAAGTGTTGGTTTGTAGGGATTTGATTGGTTACAGGATTTTCATCATGAGCTGACATTAGTTAGAGAACCATTGAAAACCAGGGAGTACTGAACATAACTAATCCTTACAAACCAAACCATAGAAAATTATTCTGATACTCGCTAGTGACTTGCTACAGGTTGGAGCTTCCTGTAGTTCTAGTGAGAAGTCGTGACCAGTGAGGTGCAATTAGAAGTCACGTGTGTGGATGGATGTCCCACCAACGACAATAGTTGGGGTCGCGCTAAAATCACGAATTGGTAGAAGTTAGAATTCATGAGCCATTGAATCGGGTCCCAGTGGCTGAATGGTATACGAGCTTGCCTTGTAACCGGAAGGTCCTGGGTTCGAATCCCAGTGGGTGCGTACTGCCGATGATTCCCAAACTAGGATGAAACAGCAGCTGTCCAGTACTCCCTGGTTTTCAATGGTTCTCTAACTGATATCAGTCCGTGATCAACTCGTAAAATATTGCTTTAAATTTTGACTATAATGTCACGTACACTGACTGACTGACTGAGTGAATTATGAACTATGAGAACTATAAACAGAGGTCATACTGTTGCTTACTACTAATGACTAATCTGAGCAAGTTTATATTTCAGAACACGAATACATTAATATTTTTTTTACCCCTCTTCATTCATCTTACACTTGATGTTAAGCTGAATTCTAACTTGATCGATAAGCTGAAGAGTTTAAATTCGTTTTTGGTTAGTGAATTAGAAGAATCAGCCAGTGGTTTTATGGTAGACTTAATTGACAGTCAGTAAGAAGATGTAAACGTAAGACTCACGCTATCTAACGTTATCAGCATGATATTCTGGTGATTTGGGGGAAACTCATGTTTTAGTTAACTTATTGTGTGTGGTCAACCATTTTACTAGTGAGCTATCTATCTATGTCACTATGTCACCTCTTCTAGGATTGGATGATGTTATCTAGTCAGTTGGTAGGTGGGCAACTCTAAAGAATAGCAGCCCAAACCGAAACTACCTAGCGAACGAACAAATGACCTTCACAAGGACAACTTCGACTGATCAGAAGGCTCAAAAAAAAACGGTGCATATTTGTAATAAATCTTTTATATACAAGTAATGCAATTTTGAAAAAAAAAGTTACAAATGACAACGTTCTCGTATATGTTGCAAAAAAACCTGCCAATTTCTCATAGGAGTCTTGATACTCATGTTAAACCAAGTCCTGTAGATAAACTCATGGAGATAACTCTATATCATTGCATTTCTTGATCCATTCACTGATCTGATGCGTTTTGTTAGGTGACTCCAGAAACTTTCGATGGAATTAGTGTGGGTTCCATCAAAAGGATTGAGATAACCATTTGTATGGTTGACCACTTGATGAATATAGCCCAGATTCGATAACTGACTGTAACTACTCCATTCATCTGTATGAATAGTCGCCCCAGGCAGCACTAAGCACTGGACAATAGGCAATAAAACACCTGCACTGCGGTTAGGGATCGCCTCTATGTATCCTTTCTGGAGGCTGGTGTCATATATCCCCAATACCTATTGTTGATTCGCACTCAATCTCCCTCGATTATATTTTCTTTTTATCAAAAGTACCTAAGGTCTCTGTAAATTAAAAATGAACGACATACGTTCTCGAGCTAATTTTCTGGTTCGTCACTCATTTCACCAAACCCATCGATGCACCTATTGTATCTTCACATATAAATGACACCTCCACATTAGCAATTTCTCGACATTCCTATCAGTCCGTTCTCCAAACAGTAATCAAAAACAAGATCTGGAACGAATTTGCAACGCAAAAGGTGTAAAGCACCCATAAATACGTCTAGAAAATACGGAGTCACCCGATTAGTTGTTCAAGGTCATTTATCCGTCCTCTAGGTAGTTTCGGTTTGGGCTGCTATTCTTTAGAGTTGCCGGTAGGTGTTAACCTATGTAGCCAGCCGAAAACTATCCATCATGTTCATTAAAGTAAGTAATGTGATTGTGCTATCCAATACATTTGGAACTTTGAATGTTTAAAGTTCTGATCAAGGCATAGTTGACTATTGTCAGTGTTACAAGTATGCTTCTAGGCTTCAGTTAAAAAATTGCATATGCAATAACTTTTAAGAAACAGGAATAAAATTAAATTGACCTTAAGGAGTAAATTTTATTTATCATACTGACATAAGGGTTGAATCAACTGAAGAGTAAGCTGAACTTTTGGAACACATGATCTATTGATTCTAAGTTTAAAAAAATAAAAGTACAAAATACAAAAGCCTTGACCCTAATCATTGGATCAAATGCCTATCGAGGAGATCAATCACGAAAAAGGATTGCCATATACACCTTTACCTCTGTGGCTGAATAGTACATAAAGGGTTAGCATTGTAACATTATTTGATTTGGTTATAATTCCATCTAAAATTAATCTCGACAATACTGTATCAAGCAAACCCACTGTTATTATTATTATATTTATTATTCTCATTTTGTACCACGAATATTTTTAACTTTATGCCGTGAATGTAGACAAATTCCTCTGGTTTTATTTTTGAGTGAATTAGATGCAATATTGTGACAAATGCTGAGAATTCCATTCTGTATTATAAGTACTGTTTTTGGAATAAAGTAGATTGTTATTATTATTATTATTATTATTAAAGCGTTTAAAGAGATTAATCCTCTTCAAGGAGCAACATATACCATTTTCTTTCCTATGAGTTCACTTATTTTTCTGCATTCGAGACTTATGAGATGATAGTTCAACAAAGGTGAATGATAATATGACCGTACTAGTTTGGTTATGTTGAAAAATGAGGTTTCGTTGTTTCGACGACTGAAAATAAAATATGGCCATTTCTGCTTAGATTTTTGAAAAGTTCTGTTGCTCTATGTTCTGAGTGTAACATCGGAGGTCAAGCTGCAGCTTTGAAGTTTCAGTAGCAGTGGTGTTTATTTTTACGAGGTGGGGTTGCTAGCCTCATTCCCAACCTTCCCTCTTTACCGGTCTTATTGCCGGTTTAGTGAGGTTTAAGAGTGTGTCAGCCGGTGGTCAAACCCTGAACCACATGACTGGTTGGCCAGCATTTTACCGCTGAACCACCGACGCGTTTTTAAGTTCTACAGGAAACCAAAAACTTGACAAATCTGAGCCAGGGGTATAACGTCTTAACTGCATTGCCAACCACTGATTTCTAACGCTTTGAAGACATTGAAATTGGAGGCTAGATTTTTACACACTACTCAAACAAACGAAGATTTCATAAATTTGAGTTTAAAAAAGAGAACATGTAATCTGTTCAATATTATCACTGCCCAATAATTTTGACTCAAACACTGCAATACAAGGGATTTACATGGAATTGTCATCTTCAAAAACAGCTGGTTCAAACACAGTCAGAGTTGTTTTAAAAGATTCCCTTCTTAGAGTAAATTTGTCTTTTGAACTGATGACAGTGTTGCTAAAAATATTACTGCAACATCCGAAACATATAGGAAAATTAACTGGCATCATCTGGGTATTCAGTGATTGCTTGTTGTTTACTTAGACAGATGGTGTTACTATTAAGCTTATAGAAAATAACACACAAAAGATAAATACCTTATTATCAACGAATAATGTATAATTTAGATTGGAAAAGTCATATCGAAGAACGAAGTGGAATTCGTAGACTTTTTTTATGTAGGTGGTGAAAGTCTACACTTAGGATTATGTGGATATTAGGAGAACTTCACTATCAAATTGATGTGTATGGGGTAAATTACAAAATGCTTCAATGAAAATGCGTCTATTTACTGTGGTATTGTTTTGACAAGATACAACTACTTCTATCGTAAATCCAGTGATGCATTCAAGACCCTGTGTGCCACATAATATCTCAACAACTAATTATGTTTTGAGTGTAAAAAAATATAGGGAGAGGAAGTAGTATACTGAAGAGACTCTTTCGGCTCTGCTGTGAAATATTTATTTTTATACATTTCTACTTACTTATTTTAGCATGATACAAGCTTGTATGATAATTTCCCTCAACCTAAGCAATAATTTGATAATGTCTGGATGTGGCATTGCAGACAGTTTCATGAATCTCAGCGGAATCATTGATATTGGGCAGTTTTTTTCAAATATAAGATTGTAAGCAAATGAAATTTCTTAGGTGACCGTGTTATACTAAAGCAATTCATCATAATTTCAAGGTGACAGGATTCTTCACAGTAAAACAAATAAAAGTTTGACATGAGCCGCCGATGTATTCATTCTCTTAGATTCATTTTGACTTTAACTCGACAGTGCGCTTTACACATCATTTTACTTCATGTTCCCCGACTTTACTTTCTAAAAATATTCCTTTCACCTTATCTAACCTTTAGCTTAACTTCCTACGGGAATGTGATCGCCAATGTCTTCGGCGACTATTTGTCCTCACACCCAACATGCTGCACCCTACTGATCACGGCTAGCGGTTGTACCAAATCGTGAATTGGCAGAAGTTAGAATTCATGGGCCATTCGGTTGGGTCCCAGTGGCTTAATGGTATGCGAGCTCGGCTTGTAACCAGAAGGTTCTGGGTTCGAACCCCGGTTATTGCGTACTGATGAAGAGTCCCAAACTATGACGAAACAGCTGTACAGTACTCCCAGGTTTACCAATGGTTCTCTAACCAATGTCAGCTCATGATGAAATCCTGTGACCAATCAACCAAATCCCTACAAACCAATACTTGAATATCAATGAGATGCTCACTGGCGACTGGCCCTATTCAGGTAGGTAGTTGCCTGGGGTTCTAGTGGGAAGTCGTGATCAGTAGGGTGCAGCAGGTCGGGTGTGAGGACAAATACTCGCCGAAGATATTGGCTAGAGTTTGCGGTATGTCGTGAATTGGCAGATTTAATCAGTCAACATTTACACATTGATTCTTTTACTAAACGCTGTGTAATTTTCTTAAATAATTAATGTTATACTGCCTTGATAATATGTTTCAGGAGTAAAAACATTAACGACATCAATAAATGAGGTGAAATACAATGTTCTGAGTTGTTTTGGTGATCCAATTTTATTGATCGATAAATGTAATGTGTGTTCAATAAAGTTAGGGTTGAATGTCAAAAAAAGTGGTCACTGGTTAGCTGTGTATTTAATATAGAGAGTCATTATTCGCCGTATCTTTTTTTCCTTAGTTACTGGGTTTCTTTCTTGCAGACTTTCCATATTAACTGCACTTATAAACTCTTAATCGACTAGTGAACTGATTTATTAAGCCTAATATCCCAAAAATAAGTCTGTCACTCTTTTATGGATATGTTTCAGTGATTTAATATGAGTTCCTTTGGAAATCGAACCTATGAAGTCAATACATTTTGATGAAGGCAGGTAGGAAGAATTGTTACTCTAAATTATTTTAGAAGATAAAAGATATGGAGATTTTGATTTAGCAAATGGCTGTAAAAGTAAGACTGGCCGGTTATGAGCTACAGATCCTTTTAAATCTAGGAGTAAGTTTCTGTGTTAACCTCAAAAGAGGCGAGGTGATGTGCTGCAAGTTTTGCCTAAATAAACATCTTGTGTAATTAATTCAAGCACTGATGAATAGTGACGTTTTGCTTTCCAAGTCCAGATAATGATTTACTCAGAGTTGGAAGAAGAACATTCTAGTTTCTTTCTAAATGATCAGCAGCAAAACTTAAAGTATATTTTTGTAAACTGAAAAAGAACATCTTTTCCAGTAAAAATCTGAATAAAGTAACCAGCGAATGTGTAGAAGCTAATGTCCAGTTCACTTATAGACTATAAAAGAATTTATCAGGTGAATACAACCGATATTTTCTTGCAAATTACAGTCCAACACAGCAACATGCATGCAAAAGAAAACTACTACATCAAGTGGAGATGTAAAAGTGCTTGAAGGTGATATGGTAACTGATGGTAGAAATAGTGCAGATTAGAGTTTAGTTGCTTTACAGTGAAGAAAACAGTCAGCGACTAAGTAGACTGGTTACATTTAAATGTCAATGGAATCGAGAGCCTTCAGAAGAAATACCACTGATGAATCTGTTGCGAATTAGAGGTAAGGTAAGACTGACAACAGTAGTAATAGCTGTAGCTCGAAGCAAAACTTCAACTAGATAAGTCATATTGTCTCAGAAAAATTATCAAAGAAGTTTTTTTTCAAACAGTCAGGGACTTGATTAGTAGATGTATAAACTGCATAAGATTCTGTGGTTGTTAGCACTTTCTTACTTTTTATTGCCTTATGATGACACTAGACATGTGGATAGTATTAGCATCGCATTTATAGCTCAGGTGTTTTGTTTTCTAAAACTTCTTTATCTTCCTTCTTCAGTGTTATTGAATTATTTGGATGAGTATTAGGTATAGGAACAAATAGTGGCCTTTCCTTACAACTCACAAGTTTGCTTCGATCAATCCATTCAGATTAATCTACAGAAATGAATATATCAGTGATATAATTTAGTGAATAAGGCATTAACAGGACAAATTTCGTTAGGTGACATCATTTCGTAGTTTCTCTACAACCGCTTTACAACTAACATGGTGAACAATAATAAAATAAAGTTCATGACATTTACTCAGCTAAATAAAAAACAAAAGTACATACTAATGCCCAATCATATTCAAATGGGTCAACTAGTCCATGGTAAGCGAAGTTTGAAGTCTATTGTTTTCTATACACATAGTTTAGGCTGTATGTGATTAATCCAAAGTGCTTCCATCACCTTCAATAACCTTGAATTAGAGTTATGTGAAATAATTGTGAAAGAGTGATTAATATTGATTTTGTGACCTGACATTGATGAGTGTTTTGCAATGGATGATGCTGGATTTCTATTCAGATTAATGGCGTCGGGATTTTCTATATGATTTAGTAGACATTTTGGAACATGTTCTTTTCGACGACATTGGAACATTCTATTGGTTCTACCTATATAGGTGTCACGGCAGCTGCAGGTGATCTTGTAGATACAGTTTGAAGCAGAGTCTATAGAATTTCGTACTAAATCATATAGAAAATCCCAACGCCATTAATCTGAATAGAAATCCAGCATCATCCTGTAACAACAGAAGACAAGGGCCAGGCAACAGAACGTTTATTACGGAAATTCAACACATATTTATAGATTTTGATGTACATTATTGTAGGTTAATGTTAGTAGAAAATACAGTCTGTTGATTGGTTGTTTCTCACAGAAAGTTAACCTTGCATCTCTTGTGGCTGTGTGAGTTCATCTATATGTTAGCTGTATCCGCCTGTCCATCTTGACCTTGTTTTCACATGACTACTATTGACCTCAATTACTGTCAACCAATTTGGCTAGCAACCATCTCTCACCACAACATGACTAATATTTGATACATAAACATTGACCTCAATTACTGTCAACCAATTTGGCTAGCAACCATCTCTCACCACAATCCATTGCAAAACACTCATCAATGTCAGGTCACAAAATCAATATTAATCACTCTTTCACAATTATTTCACATAACTCTAATTCAAGGTTATTGAAGGTGATAGAAGCACTTTGGATTAATCACATACAGCCTAAACTGTGTGTACAAAAAACAATAGACTTCAATCTTCGCCTACCATGGACAACATGACCTATCTAAATATGATTGGTCATCAGTATGTACTTTTGTTTTTTATTTAACTGAGTAATTGTCATGAACTTTATTTTATTATAGTTAAGGATGTTAGTTGTAAAGCGGTTGTAAAGAAACTACGGAATGATATCATCTCGCGAAATTTGTCTTCTTAATGCCTTATTCAAATTTATCAAAGGGACTAATTGTTTTAATAATTTAATGAGTTTTTTTCCAGTTGTTGTTACACCTGGGTTTGTAGTGCTGAACTACTAATATAATACAATCAAACTCTATTCTCTTTGTAAAGGTCTTCTTTACTATGGCTTACTTAAATCCTAATACCCACACACACTACTTTCACTGTCAATTTTCAAAGTCCCTCTACGAACACTTTCTTGGATGGATGAATCAAACAAAATATGAAATATATTATTATTGTATTAAGATTACAGCTTGATGCCACACCGTATTTTCAGTACAAGTATGGAATTTTCAGCATGGATATCGGTAGCCCAAATTTTGCAGGCCGACCATAGATATCGGGTGTGCGTCGGCAGCGGATCGAACTTCGGACCATGTGCATGGTCGATGAGAGTCCTAACCACTGTGCCACCGACGCACATTTTTATTGAAGTCTTTAGTTCAGTTTCACCCTGCTTTATACAATATTGTGTGGTTTATTTTTCAAAAGCAGAATAAATTTTCAGAAAACTTTTTGACTGATCAATCGATAAAAAAGAATACTTACCAGGTTGATATCTACGCACAGATCCAATATCACTATGAAGTTCAAATCCTAATTCAGATCCTGTAGGATTTCGAACATCCACTTTTTTGTTTGACAAATGAGAGGTACTTGATTTAGGGCTTCTGTGAATAGTTAGAATAAACAATGGGAAGTTAGTTGACATTATAGATTTGAGTAATTTAATAATATTAAATAGAACAAGTGAAAAATACTAAAGTCCTATGAACTGAATAAATCTAAATTGGATTTATATCAACAAATTTTTAACTAAGTCATTTATCGGATAAAACGACTAGTCCGTTGTATTTCAGAACTTTTAATTTTAACCAAGTAAAACTATAAAAGTCTTTATGAATAGTATGTAAGTAAATTTCACAATCAGTTTTCAACAAGTAAACCATGCATTAAGAGAATACTGAATGTCACTTCGGAAATAAGTCTGAAGTAGGGTTCAGGTCTATTGACGAAATCACAAGAAGAATGTATATCTTTGGGATTTTACCTTGAATTCTTGAGAATAGAAGTTAGGTGTTGTTCACTTAACGTACAAAAGAAAAGTGGAACATAGGGCTTCAACAACACATCTCCACTTTGTCCTATTTGGTGCTGTTCTCTTTAACTGGGTTCACATTTGACCATAATCTTTCATCTCCACCTCCCCCAAACGATCTCCTCCATGTCACCCTTGCGCCGACGAATCAATCGTCACTTCCCATTGGGATTCCACTCGAACGATGGCCTGCATTGCATGTGGTGTCATTCGATGGCCTCCTCAACATGCGCCCCATCCATCTCCACTTTCTCCTACATATTTGTTGAGCAATCTGCGCCTGGTTGGTTTGTTTCTAGCCATAGTTTCTTGTTGCTAATTTTTTCTACCAGCAGAGTTGGCAGCATTCCATAAAAGTCTGCAACAGGCTGTTGGAAATCCTTTTCGTGACTAACACGCGGTGCAAGTTTCTGACCCGTGTAGAAGCACTGACCGACTTGACATTGGTTTTGAAAATCCGAATCTTGTTCCTTATGCTGGCTGGTTTCAGGTTGATGAAGGCGTGTCTTGACTTCCCGATTCTGACTGGTTGGCTTTGTTATTTTCATCCGTTCCGCTGGCCTGCAGTTGAAACTATGCTTTCTAGATAAATGAAGGAGATTACTTCCGTGAAATCTCTACTGTTGATGATCATTGGCGCTGGTTGTTGTTGTTGCTGTCGGTTGGTCATCTTCATCACCTTTATCTTCTTTATGTTCACCTGCAGTCCTGTGTTCGCTGCCTCTTCAGTCAGTTTGTTGGTTTGCTCCTGCAAGTCTTCTAGTATGTGTGATTATTATTATTTCCTTTACTTCCTAGAGGAACATAGGGCTTCAGCCATGCGTCTCCATTGCGTTCGGTTCTCTGCTAGAGCTTTCACCTGGCTCAAAGTCTGCCCACACGTTTTCATCTCCTCTTCACATGATCTCCTCCAGGTCACCCTTGGACGACCAACTCTTCGCTTCCCTTTCGGGTTCCACTCGAGGGCTTGTCTAGTGATGTCACTTGCTGGTTTCCTCAGAGTGTGGCCAATCCATCTCCATTTCTTCCTGCCTATTTGTTTCACAATCGGTTCCTGGTTGGTTCGCTCCCAGAGATCTTTGTTTGTATGTGTGATATTAAACATAAATCGTCTGCAAAATCCAGATCTTCTTATCGGTGGTCCAACGTATTCCCGTCTTCTCGCTCCCCATTCACGGTGTGCTGCATAATCCAGTCCACCACAATTAGGAATATCATCGGTAATAATAGGCAGGCAGCCTTGTCTTACTCCTGCATTCACTTTGAACGCCTCGCCGAGTTTTCCGTTGTGGATCACGTGACATTGTCGTATAGTCAGCTGTTGATTGAGGTTGACAAAGGCTTGGGGCACTGCACGCCGTAGTGTTGAAGCTGTTTCCAAATTACTTCTTGGTCAACGCTGTCTGGTGAAGGCCTTTTAGAAGTCAATGAAGTTGAGGTTGAAGTTTGACTGCCATTCTATTCTTTGTTCGGTGACAATGCGTAGTATAAGCGATTATTTCATCGGGAATCAAATGAGCTCTTGAAAGAACTCTTTAAGTATCTGTAATGACCTTATTGTATAACACAAAGTGCTCATTAATTCATTTCAAAGAAGACAAGTAATCTATTCATTTCATCGTCAGTTACATCTGCTCATTCATGCTCGCTAGTAGAAGTAAGTAAAAAAAGAGTGTTAAGAGGAAATAATCTCTTGTCTAAGTAGAGCTGTTCGAAACCAAGTGAAAAAAAACAACTCATGACCGAGGTCACTTAGATAGAACTCAGTTACTTGGAGCGAAATTTTCAAGTACCAGGCTCTGAGTTATATTTATTGTACCGAACCCGATGATGCCACTAACTGTCTCAAGCTTAATTACGTGGACTAGGGCCCAAGGTTGAGTCATACTGGCTCAAATTTAAGCTCTAAAGTCAATGAAGCACATCCCCACCAAGGTATCGTACAGAAGTAAAATGAAGATAATACTGCAATTACTTAGTTTAAAAGAAGCCACTGTAACCAAATAGCTTTAACTTGACCTATTGAAATGCCTACTTACTCTAGGTGTATGCTTTTTGAGTGTATTACATCCTACTCTATGCCTTTCATTTCGTACGTAGACTTATTTTTGTACATTCCAAATTATTCGTTTGTTTACATGGTGTTTTGCTTATAACTACCATCAGTGGTCTGCATTTCGCTTAACTATTTCTCTTACTTTGCTGGTGCACTAGTTTGCCAATCATGCATAAATAGACATTGATGTTTTGACCACTTTAACATATCCATTTTGTGTCTGTATTTTTCTAAATCCATCGGTGCACTGTGAGATATCGACTTCTTTCTTGCTTTAAGCAGCAGTTAGAGTATCTCACTTAGCTAAATGTTTCTAAAAAAACGACTTTTGTCCTTAAGCTTGTTATGATCTGCTGAAAATTTTCGAAAAAAATAAGCTTATTTGTATTTACAAATTTCTATGCACTGATTTTGTACAAATGTATAGCCGAAACCGTGTGAATAAAGTTCTGAAAATTGTTTAGTTATTCAAATATAAGTAATTTAAAGCATTTTAGTATAAGTATAGGTGATCGTTAGCGGGTTTAGTATATCTTTCCGACATGTATCCGATGATTATTGCAAGGCTTCATTTGCCTTCAGATAGAATACGTCACAGACTGACACCGACTGCAAGACCACTTAGAATTAATTTCAGAACTCTCAGCAATTCAAACTGGTAACTGACCACGGATTGATATCAGTTAGAGAACCATTGAAACTCGAAAAAAAACAAATCTAATACTTAAAATCAACTCTTGAAAATTAGTCTGATGCTCACTAGTGACTTGCTACAGGACGGAGTTTCCTAGAGTTCTAGTAAGAAATCGTGACCAGTGAGGTTCATCCAGTCGAGAGTGGGAATCGATTTCCCACCAATGACATTGGTTTGTGATCGCGCTAAAAATCACTAACTGGTGGAAGTTAGAATTCATGGGCCATTGAATCGGTTCCCGAGTGGGTGTGTACTGCCGATGATTCCCAAACTAGAATGAAATAGCTGTCCAGTACAGCTGCCCTGGTTTCCAACGGTCCTCTAACTGATATCAATCCGTGGTCAAACTCGAAAAAACAAATCTAACCCTACAAACCAACTCTTGATAACTTTGTGACAATCATGAATAATCCCCATCCAGATATTAATGAACAGAAGAAAACAAGTAGTTTAGTGAAAAGGCTCTTTTGGCAACTAATCGAACTCAAATCTCTGAAATTGGAATTCACTAGCCTATAAATGTAATTCTTATTAATGTAAAATGTAGCATCATTGTCATCCAACTTAACCGGAGAGTGACTGTCTTCATATTAGTCGTTGACAAACGCTTATTAGGTTCCTAGAAATCTCATCTTAAAGCTAGTCACTAGTAAGTAATCAGTCTATATTCAGGTTTAAAATTCTTTTTTATATATTTTTATTAATTGCAAATTTCTACACAACTCAATTGGTTGGTAGAGGATTGAATATGAGAACTGCTAACATTCAGCTCATTTCCTTTCACCACCTTGATTTTCCTTGCCTTCATGGTCTTCTTTATCCCCTTAAAATCCTCTTAGATTCAGTGGATTATTGTTTCGTTCTAATCCTAATCGAGGAGTATATACTTTGTTTGTCACCGGATGGTAACCAATGTCATGTCAGGCTCAGAGGCTTCCCTACCGATTGCTCCAACCAACTAGAGGATTCTATTTGCTCTATTTCATTTCATGCCTTTGCTTTCCGAGTGGAAAATAGGGCTTCAAACTTGAGTTTTGAAATTCCTGCAGCAGTGGTATTGTTCGTATGGAGTGGGGTTGTTGGCCTCATGCCCAACCCTCCTTCCTTAGACAAGAGTTAAGACTGCTTCGGCTGGGGATCTTACCCTGGACCAAGTGTCAGTGGCTGGCAAGAATTGTACCACTAAGCTACTGAGACACACACATGTATAAGCTTATGTGGTTTAAAAAAGGCTTCACCATAGAAATGAAATTTTAGAAGTAAGCGATTTTCAAATGCCAGAATAATATACAATGTTGTATAGAAATGTACTTTTGTTGTCATTATTAAATGATAAATAAAATGCATATGCGTATAAATTGATTTGCAGAATACTGTTGAAAAAGCACTACATACTTACTTTTTAATATTCCAAAACTGTAATGAACCTGTAGAAAGAATGCAGAACATATGAAAAATTTAATGCTTCGCACTTTCATTCACAGAAGAATCATTAAGTATGACAACTGAAAAGAAAACTGTTATCAGAGTAATAGTTATTCAACACATTTGGTTTCAACATTTATCCACTGGGTGTTTCATTCGAGTATTTATCCATTCATTGTCTACCTTATGATATATATATATATATATGTATAAAGTGGGAAATCTTATATCTTCAAAAAGAGGATATATCAGTCTTTCTTTGTATCTTTAAGTGTAAGCAGTCTTGTTTTGAAAAATACATAAACATTCTCGCGTATTCATATGCGAATAGTCTTTTGAATTATAACCAAGTGGATGAATACTAAACCTTTTGTTTCACTAAATCGCATGATTCTAAGCTTGATTTCAGGTTGTGTCAACAGAATAGACTACTGAAGGATTTGAATAAAGAAAGGAAGACGAAATCATTCTATTTCACAGGTTCTCATCAGCTGCAGACGATCTGAAATTACAATGGTTATATAGATGATAATAAGATACTTTAATGCTAGAGTGGTAGTAGAGAAGAGATAGTATAAAATTTACGCACCCAAAATGAAAGCATTACAATTTTTAGTTTAAGTTTTCATCATCAATTTATACGCTTTTAAAGTTGAAAAGAGGGGGGAGGGGTAAGACGGAAAACAGAAAAAATTAATTGGCAGAACAGTGTTAGCTTGTAGGTTCACACAGCAACTCAAAAAACAAAAGTGGTCACAGTTGATGAGATTAAGATTTGTTCAGTGAGTTGAGATCACTGAATTAGATGACTAATTAATGTAATCAAAATCAAATATCAGTTACCAAGAGAGTGAGAGATTAATCACACTCTCTTTCTGTATGCATAAGTCTGGTTTAAGTTGTTTGATTGCGATCGCTTCGGCAAATCGTAGTAAATTTGCTGCCCTTTGTCAATTTAAAATTCTGAAGGACTTAGAAAACGCTACCAGATGTCCAGCATCAACAATATGTCTGGTAATTGCACTCTGAGAATATTTGCTTCCTTTCAGTCACAGGTTACTTGAAATATGTTCAGAAAATAGGATAGAAGCCCTTCTTTCTTTCCTTCCAATGTACTTGCTCCCGCAATTGCATGTAAATTCATGAACGCAGTCGGAGGTGACATCAGCACGGTAGTTATCCAGTTTTAAGTGGCTTAAAGAAGGAGTGGTACTGTATAATGTTATGAGTTCTGCTGCCGGGAAGCTTCTTTTTATTGCACCTTTCAGTCTTTTGTCAATCTTTTTTGACACTGCATCTCCTATGAATGGGAGACAAATAAACACTTTTTTCTTTTCTACAGCTGAGTGTTTTTCTTTCTTATCTTTTTCTCTGCTATACTTCTGAATAAATCCCTTAGGGTATCCATTTTCTCTTAGGCATTTCTCGACGAAATTTAATTATTCTTCGACTTTGTTTGGTGAACATAGCTTCCTAGCTCTGTCATACAAAGTCCTCACTAATCCACGTTTATAGCTTATGGGACAAGAGCTGTTACAGTGAAGATATTGTCCAGTCCAGGTTTTTTTTATAGATGAACTTTTCGATCATGCCTTCGATTGTTCTTTTCACATTTAGATCCAGGAAATTGAACTCATTATTATGTTCATATTCCACGGTGAATTTGATGTTTGGATGGGTCTCATTTAGGCGATCATATAATGCCTATGTGTGATCCATGTCGTTGCAAACAACAAATCTGTCATCGACATATCGGCGATAGTAGGTTGTTCCATTGATAGCAGAACTCACTTGTGTCTGTTCAAGGTAGCCCATGAAGATATCAGCCAGGATAGGTCCCAGAGGCAAACTTATCGCGACCCCATCAATTTGTCGGTAAAGTTGATTGTTGAATTTGAATTGTGCATCTCTTGTTCAGAGCAGCAGTAGTCGCTTCATCTCTGTTTCCGGTAATGGTAGTAGACCCGTTTGCTTACAAATGATATCAATTGTTTCCATCAGTAGTACGTTTGTAAACAAGGAGGTCACGTCATACGATACCATGAGTTTGTCTGATATGTCAGTGTTGTCAACTTCCTTGGAAAATTGATAGCTATCCTTCAGGCTATGGGTTGCAAATTTAATTCGAACTGGCTCTATAGAATCAGCTAACCATCGAGCTAGCTTGTGGCACGGTGAATCAATCATTGACAAGATTGGCCTTAAAGGCACATTTGCTTTATGGATTTTTGGTAAGTCGTACATAGACGGCAGGCGTCCACCTTTTGACTTCAGTTTATTGTATGTTTCGCTGTTGATTAGGATACGTCAATTTTATACTATCTCTTCTCTACTACCACTCAAACATTAAAGTATGTTATTATCTTCTATATAACCATTGTAGTTTCAGGTAGTTTGCAGCTGATGAGAACCCGTGAAATAGAATGACATCATTTTATACTGCGAATTTCGTCCTCCTTTCTTTATCGGAATTTATCAAGGGAACCAAATCTATGAAGGATCTTAAGCTAGAATATGGCCATTTTCCAGTAGTTCAGTGAACTAGTTTGATTGTTTACGTAACACCTAGCCAAAATAAAACACTAGGTACATACGTGAGCTTTACTGCTGAAGAAAATAAAAGACAGTTCAGCGAAAATAGTTTTCTTTATCAACGAAATCATCCCCAGAGGCTGTAGAGTCGTATTTATATTTACTAACAATGCATAGTAGTCCATTATTGAATAGCAACAAAGCTATCTTTGTTTAATAGATATGGACTGAGTAAATAATAATATATGGTAAAATATGATTTACTGTGTTAAATAATACTTCAATGTTAATTGATAGATTTTATAATAAAAGCTCTTATGATACAAAAGTTAATCAGTTTTAATATATATTTACACTACACAATCACCTTTAAACATACTTTGAAAAGGCCACTCTTAATTGACCTAAGAATAAAAAGTAATGACTACTAAAAAAAACTTAAATTTCTCATAGATCAAAGTGAATTGGCATGTTAAACAAAATAAACCGTTCTAGTTTTTATTTATTTTTTTTGAAGAGGATGGAATTTTCTTCAAAGAGAGGGAGATACATCTGTCTACCAGCACTGCTGATAATTTACTTTAATGCTTGTGTGTACACTGACAAAAAATATATGTTGGACTACAAATAAGGCACTGATGATATCAGAATATAGAGTAGAATGCGTTTTAATTGGTGGAAGTATAATTTCTTGAAGCCGGTAAACAGCAGCTGTGGTCACTGGTGGTTATTATGCATCTATCGCTCGTAGAGTTTAAAGCATATTGTGAATACATGAGTTATGTATCATTTTAAATGTAAGAATACATTTGGTATTCTCTACAAATTTTCCTGGGTGTCGGTGGCACAGCGGTAGAATGCTCGCCAACTGCGCCTCATGTGGTCCGGGGTTCCATCCCCGGCCGACGCACTCCTTTACTTCGCTAAGCCAGTAATAAGACTAGTAAAGAGGGAAGTTTGGGCTGGGCATGAGGCTAGCACCTGCATGCCGTAAAAATAAACACCATTGCTACCGAAACTTCAAGCGTCTAGCTTGAAGCCCTATTTTCCAATGGGAACGCACAGGAATAAAAAAGAAACTTTCATACGGTCGTTTGATTATCTTACCCCACGTTATGGCTCCTGACGTGATGCTATAACCCAAATTATGACTGAATCTATCTATGTATTACCTAGAGACATATTTATGTATATATATATATATATATATATATATATATATATATACAGAGAGAGAGAGAGAGAGGCAAAGAGACTTAAGTGTGAAGCTTAAGAGTCAAAATTAAAATCATGTGCTTTTTATCTACATTCACCTCTACTTTAAACCGTATTGTAAACAGACTAATTCCCTAATTTACGCTGGAAATGAACGTTTTCTCAGAATAAAGTAAATGAATTCAGATAGGCTACAAATAAAGGCATATGACATCTTTAAAGGCTTTTCAAGTATACTAGACTGTTTGTCTAAATTTCACCTCATATAAAATTTTATTCTCAAGAGTTAGTTTCTAGAGATTTGATTTGTTTTTCAGGTTCGCCCACGGATTGAAATCACTTAGGGAACCATTGGAAACCAGGGCAGCTGTACTGGACATCTGTTTTGTCCTAGTTTAGGACTCATCGGCAGTACACACCCACCGGTGTTCGGAAACAGGACCTTTCGGTTTTTAGAGCCGACTCGCAGATCATTCAGCCAGCGGGACCTGACTCAGTGACTTATGAATTCTAACTTCTACCGATTCGTGACAGATATCTTCATGTCACTTTATTTAGTTTAGAGTGTAAAACTACAGTTCTTTTAAAACATGTTATAAATCTTGAAGGCCATCAGTTTATAAAGTAGTAGCTCATCATAATCACTTACATCCCATTTAACTACTAATACCTAACTTTATTTGTTGCATTTCACTTGACGTAAAGTACGTTTCAAAATCATTTAACTCCAGTTGTAGACAATTCATTGAATTAAGTTATTTTTTCTGTATATATTTTTTTTAATTCCTCTACTTTCCCAGTGGAACGTAGGACTTCAAGCTAGACGCTTGAAGTTTCGGTAACAGTAGAGTTTATCTTCGCTGGTTGCGGATGCTAGCCTCATGCCTAGCCCAACCTTCCATCTTTACCAGTCTTATTACTGGCTTAGTGAGGTAATGGAGTGCGTCGGTGGCATAGCGGTTAGGACGCTCGCCGACTATGCACATGGTCCGGGGTTCGATCCCCGGCCGACGCACTCCTTTACCTCGCTAAGCCAGAAATAATGTTGGTGAAGAGGGAATGTTAGACATGAGACTAGCAGCCCCATCCTGTAAAAATAAACACTGCTACAGAAACTTCAAGCCACTAGCTTGGAGCCCTATGTTCTACTGGGGAACGTGAAGGAAAGAAAAAAAGAGGTAATGGAGTGTGTTGGCTGGGGGTCGAATCCCGGACCACATGAGGCTTGACTGGCTAGCATTCTACCACTGTGCCA